ATTATCCGAACTATGAATTATGTTGAATACTTTATCAACGGACAACTAACACATGTTAGACACACTTATTGACTTGCAGAAAACAGTTCTTTGTAAATGAAATAGGAGCCTTACATTAGGTATGGAAAATAAAACAATATTTCTTTTTAAAAGTTTATTCTACTTTCAACACTCGTAAAGTAAACAGCGACGGCAGAACAAGAACGTCAGTGGAGGCAGCCGGCGAGTGCTCGTCGTGTTGTGACAAGGAATGGAGAGGTGATATCTCATCCGCAATCATTGCTCATGTGTACTTAAGTACATAGTTTTATAATTAGATAGGGTATTATGTTTCTCAATGTGACTAATACATATGTATTAGTTTAAAATGTTTTTTTAGTTAATTAAAAAATAATTAAACACATATTGCATTTTTATTTTCAATTAAATAAAACATCTAAAAGATGTGTTACCTACTAACTCATGCTGACTATTTGATTCATACATATACAAGTTTAAGATTTTCATGTTTCTACGTAAATAATCACTAGAATTTGTAAAAATATAGTTTACTCCTCCATTCATATACTAACAAAATGTAGTTTTTGTTCATAGCCGTTGCACAAATATATACAGATTGGCTCAATGTAAGAATGGGTTAATATATTACATAGTATTCTAACATTTATATTTCCTTTAACATAAGACTAACAAACTAATAAGTATTATCAGAGATCACAAATTCTATAAAGTTACATTTTCTACTTAAAAACAATAATCACATATATGACTCATAACGGGGAAGCACATCACAAAATTTTATTAAAACCAATATTGTATCATTTAATTTTAAATGTATTGGAAAGTTACATTATCAGATTCTTAATTTATCACGTTTAATACTATCACTTTTAGTGGAATGATTTTTTATACTTCAAAAACCAATGAAAAAAAATGATAACCTCAAAATATGCCCAAATATACCTTGTCTGTTTGAGCTTCAGATCTCTATTGTTCAAATGGTTCCATTGATTATATAATTTTTATTACAAGCAGTTTACATACATAAATGTTACAACTCGATGCACACTTTGAATTCTATTTAAATTAATTTTCTCTTAATTAACAACACAATAAATAATTCCAATACAAAACACTTACAAATCATATTAAAGAATACGTTATAACTAAACAATAAAAGGAACAAGAATACAAATAAAAACATGTTAAATAGGATGTGATAAAAAAATTGTCATTTGCAAAATGATGAATAACATTTGAGGGTCAATGAATTAAAAAAAACTACAATGTTTCAACAATATGGTACATCAAATTCGTATCTAGATTCAAACAACACGTATTTTAGCAATGGTATTGGTACTTTCCTCGATCATTTTGTCCGGGGGGTCGGAGTTATCGGCGGGGGGT